CCCATGTCCTTGAAAATCAACCCACATCTGCCTGTGTATTAAGCTTCTAACTAAAGGAACTTGCACACCTAGCACTTTCTGAAGACCTTCTGCAAAAATCCCTGAGTGGTCCATTTGTCTGTAATGTGTTCTCCGCTCTGCAGAGCCTCAGGGGCATGAAAGATATTAAAAGGTCAGGGACCTCTTGTCTTGGGGAGAATCTCTATGGGGCTGGCCATGACTTAGCATCCATTTCTCCTTTTACTGGTCATGATGATTCTGAGAAATTTCTAGTTCTTTTTGAGCTCAAATTATGATCAGATTCCAAAGTTAAGGGACAGACATGAATCATGGCACTTCTTTGTTTTATGTTGGTGGTTGTTGGTTTGGATTTTTTTTTTTTTGTTTTTAAGGAAAGACAGGTTATATTAATATGCTTGGAATCTTGTATATTATATATCATGTTGACTTACAGTAACTGGTCCAACAGATTGCTCTTTTCCATTAAAATGGTTGGTTTCAGCCATTTAAACTCTTGTGGTAATGTATGCAGCACTCAGTGTGGTTGCGTATGATGCAGTCCTGAAATTTTGATTGTAAAAAAGATGTTAAGAAATGGCATACTTAAAAAGCTTACATTCAAGAACAGTGTTATAGTATCAAGCACTCAAAATAGGAACAAAATTTAACTTTCAATCCAAGTGTCATGTCCTGCCTGCACACACCCCCCCCCGCCCGTGACATGTGCAGAATATTTGTTAGAGTATATATAATTGTATATTCTTGCATTTACAGGACTCAGGCCTTACTCGATGGACAGGAAGAACAAAGCAGAGTCCTCTGTTAGTGCCAGGTATGTTATTTTGAGGTTAGATCATTGAGTTGGACCCCAGGAATTTACAGGTTCTGACACTAATTCTGACACTGACTTCTCGCTGTTCCTGAATGACATGTAGAAGACATATTAACGAGCAAATAAAAAAATGTATGGGGTGATCTCCCTTCTCACATTTCTTCATAGGCAAGCTCTTGATTTCATTTTTAATGTAATATTCTTTAAATGTAGAGACTGTGTGCATGTATAATAGAAAAACACAGCCTGTTAGATTGATAGAATGCAGGGGCAAACGTGCCTCTATAAACCATAGTGTGAATGAAGATGTGTGACCTGACTGAGTGCTTTCTTTTATGACCATGATACCATATATTTAAAGATACATTTTATTGTGAATCTAGATCTCTTGAATTAGCCTAGAATCATATTTTGTGGTTTCTAATGATTACAATTCAGTAACATATGGTGCTGAAAGTAAATCAGATTATGTAGATCATTTAACCCAATACAGGTTAATTTAGAGGTGAAGTCCCTTATAAGTCCTGAATCTGATATTTTTATACTAATTCCTATAGTGACAAAATTAATTGTTATTCCATTGAATGTGATCTTCTCTTCATTAACTTTAGTGTGCCTTCATGATTACGCTCATGATTTTGTCAGCTCTTCCTTGGCAGAATTTGACCTGATGATTTAGGAGATTGAAAACTACCAGATCACTGTTTCTCCTTATGGTATTGGGGGCAAATCCTCCAGTAGCATAAATTAATGTACCTCTGTTCTGAACCTCAAAGTTTACAATAACTGAGGACCCTACCTCTTTTACTATAAAGTTACAAAGAAGATATAGAAGATGTGTCTTTTTTGTTATTTAATTCTGGTACTAGATCATACATAAGAGTAGCAGGGTCTAGCACTTCTACTTCCAGTGGCTTCTTTTATGGCTGACAGAATGATTTAAGAGTTCATGCCCAGCACCCTTGGCCTTGGGCTCTGTAAAAACTCTGTCATGGATTTTGTTTGATCTGTATAGGAACGCTGTAAGGTGGTGACTTAGTGGCTATTATGCTTTTCCAACCACCTGGTTCCCACCACAGTATCCCATTAGAACTGAAGACTGCTGACTCTGCTAGAACCCCACCTGTGATTCTGGGTGATGTTGCCAATGGCTCTATGGCATGTACTGAATGGGTTGCAGGAAGTGTAGCATGGCTGGAAAGTCTGTCTTAGCTCCCCTCATACAGAAATGTCTGTGCAAGGAGAGTGAGACCACTTCCCAGTAACAATGTGGCAAAGGAAAAGCTGAAAAGATTTCAGAGCTTAGCTGCTGAGCTTAAAGTGACTCAGATTTCATACTGCTGAAAGAAGATACAGCTTTGTCAGTCCAATTTAATTATGTTTCATATTGAACCCCAAGCATTTGTATCTATTTTTTTGAGTTAGCTTCTCTACATTATTATTTTTTTTTATTATCGTATTTGAAACTCCTTAGATTTGCTCTTCAGGTATGACACCTCTAGGGTATGCTGTGGTCATGTTTTCAAGTTCTCTACAGCCAAGAGTACTATTCAAGGAAGAAATAAAATGAAAGTTGAGATTCACAAACATTTGCTGGGCATTTAGAGAGTACCCGAGCTTTATCTGGTTGTTAGTATTTTTAGTAGAGTTAGTAAGGGAGCATTTTTAGGGTCATCTACATACTTCAGAAATGGCTTTGAGTTGTAAAACATGGTGGGTAGATCTGATTGAACAGAATCACTCTCTAACACACTCACCTCCTGCAGGTTGCTGTAGGGGTACTTTAGCCAGGCAGTGAGCAGGAAGCTTGCCTTGGCCACAGCCTGGTCTGTAAGTACTTTATGAATAAGGAGGGAATTGAGTTTTCACCTGTCTCAGGTGGGCTGCTTTATTTGATGCCAAATCTTAAGAAACAAGGATAAAAATAACCTTTTTATCATGATGATCATAGTAGCACATTATCTACTAGAAACAGACCTGGAGAAGAGTCAACAAATAATGTTTTATGTTTTGTTAGCTGTTTTTAATTTATCAGCTGCAAGTTTCAATATATTTCTCTAACTACTTGTACGGTAACTTCTGGAAAAATATCTACCCACTACCATTCAAATTCTGATGGGAAATGTGCATGTTCATAATGTTTCCAGACAGATTAGAAATGTTTGTTTAAAAGGTAGAAAAATCCGGTCTTCAAAGTTTGGAAGAACTTTACTGCTTATACTGCTTATGATGTGGAGAGATTTATCATACTAACGTCTGTTAATACCTCAGGGAAATTAATGCCTCTTGAGTAATGGAATCAATGTTGAGCCTCAATGCCAAGGTGCCTGTGGGTTACAACTATTGGGATTATGTTATAGTATGGTTCCAGGCAAAAAGGATCATCTGTGCAAATGAGATAATCGCGAGTCATCAGCCCTCTTGCTGTCCCTAATACTAGCTGGGGGATATTCTTGAGGCAATGGAATGGCAGCCGCTGGCGCAGTTCTGCTGGGCGCCCTGCGACACGCACATCAGCCCTTCAACGATGCTGTGGGCTCTCTTGAACGGGGAGGGCACATCACTGGAGCGAGAAGCTTATATCCTCTTTTAATCACACTCTGGTAATCCTGCTGGTCCACAACAGTATACAAAATGCAGATCTGGATTTGACTCTGAGTTTTGAAACTTATGCTACTGAAAGCACTGCAGTTGAGTGTCAGTGTGCATCACACCCTATATGCCTTTTAATTGATTTAAGAGGTAGCATTCGTGGCAATCCCAGGACTATTCTTAGAACAATGATATGAAAACTGGGCTATAGTTTTCTGTAAATTTTCAGGGCTAAATTGACCAGATAAGTGCAAGACAACATGAGATTCTTAGTGGAAATAAAACAAGAAAACACCTGTTGTTTCAAGTATTGTGAGGACTTGTTTCCTCTTTGCATGGAAACATTCTAGCATAGTCGTCCTGTGCTTCACATAAACCTGCAGCAATAAATCAAGCAGGTGAAAATTTCAGATAAATCAGTGGTTTGAGAACTGTTTTAACTATTGACTTCTGATGGCATCAGACACTGAGGTCTGTTTTTCCCAAGAAAACATATGGCTATAGTTTATGATTTCATGATGATTTTGATAGTTAAATTCATGCTTTTGGTGAAACAATCAGACATGGTTGTGAATTCAGTATTTTCAAAAGCTCTATATTGTATTTACAGTGACACAAATTACCCTTTGTTGGAGGAATTTACAATCTTACTCCTTTCTCTGGGTGATGTGACGGAGACATCCCTTAGAATAGGTCTGCTGGTTTCTCATAGTGTTTCTGACCATTTCATAGCACTTTTGGATGTGTAGTCTGTGAAAACAGGCTGCTCTTAGCTCTTGCAGTGATCTCAAATGGTCAAAAATTAAATAGAAGGTGTGGATATTGTGTAGTTTAAATGTCAGCTATATATAACAAGTGGGGAAGAAAGGACTAGACAGAAGGATAAGAAAATAAAGCCCAGGGATTGTGGAAAAACATGTATATAACAACTTGAATTAACTATTCCATGTAGATAAATTCTTTGTCAGTGTTAGGATCAAAATTTGATCTGTCCTTTTACCATTAGATTTACCTAGGGAAGAACACCTGTTCAGTGCCATCCTAGTTGTAGCTGTATGACAGACTTGATGGTTTGATCACAAAGCAGTGTTAAGTGTTGATAAGTATTTTTTATAATTTAAAATATTTTTTTTCTAACATGATCAACAGTAGCACTTCAGACTCTGAGACTCCACAACAACCAGCCTCATAGCATGGGGAAAAAAAGTGTTTAAATCCTGAACTGATCAAGAATTGGATTTCAGACACAGTATTCTTGGAGATTTTTCTGTGAAAATATTTTGGTTTTCATGTATGAATGTTTGGGAAACAAGGAAACGTGGAACAGTCCTCAAGTATCCTGTCCTAATGCTAAACAAGTATGACCTAAGACTTCTGATGAATCCAAGAAACAGTTATCAATTAGCATCAGTTTCAGGAAGCATTATCATATCAAGACATCTCAGGGTGCCTTTATAAAAGAAAAAAATACAATAATTTAATAGCTTAGTCTTCTGTGCCAAATGAATGACTCAAAGC